GCAGCAAATCATCACTCTGCATAGTAGCAGGGTAGGAGTCAAGTCAAATCCTATCTAAAGGATGGATCTTTTTTCACTGAAGGGGTATTCAGGCATTGGAACAGGCTGCCCAGGGAGATGGTGAAATCCCCATCCCTGCAAGAGTTGAAAAAGGTGTGGATGTGGCACTGAGAGATACAGCTTAGTGGTGAACACAACAGTTCTGGGTTAACAGTTGGACTCGATCTCAGAGGCCTTTTCCAACCTTAACCATTCTGTGATTCTATGATTCAATGATTCTGTGATTCTATACATTGGGAGCAGCAGCACTAGAAAGAAACAGAGAGGTCACAGGAGATAAAGATTACACAGTGCAATGTTCTGATAAAAGGAAGTGCATGTTACCTGTCCTACGTGGAACGGGTGAGACTGAAACTGAAATATCATGTATAATTCTTGCCGTCCATTTGTTTTTACTCAAAAAAAAAAAAAAAAAAAAAAGATGAATGAAGACAGAGATGAGTCTGTGGTGTGATTCAAGACCTAAAAAATGCTTTAGGCTGAAAAATGGAAAGAGCGTGGTGTTTAGTGATGAACATGGAATCTGTGAAAGATGACTGGCCTTGATATATGATGAGAAGGAAACTGTCCGCTTCCAGTAAACGGTTCAGTCTAGCAGGAGTCATAACACACACCTCAAATTATAGAAACAGTTCAGGTCTTAAACAGTCAGGATCACTGACATTTATTATCACTGCCACAGGTATCTTGTCCAAGTTAGTTCTAAACCCCTAGAGGTGCTTGTTGTACTGAGCTTAGCATAAAAGCAAATGGATAAGATGTAGTAACATGTATTAAATCATGTTGGATGATCCCACGGTCTCTTCTGGCTTTTAAACTCCACAAATGAGCCTATGACCTTCGTAAAGCACTGGCTGTACTGGAGATGATACTTAAATGTATGTATGATGAGTTTCCCATTATGCTAAAGCATGCATCTTCAGCTCTGTTTCTAACATCACTTAACCTTATGTTTTTCCAAGCATGGCCTACACTCCTGTACTATCAGCTTCTTCATTGCCGTTACTGTTTATGTGCAAGTGAAGGTAACATTTCCTGTGATGTCAGCACCATCAGACTCCTTTCTTTTCTGCCAAAATTGTCTGATCCCCTCCCAGCTCTTCCCCACGTACTCATGCAGCCAACGCTCTTCCCTCTCCTGTTCCCCCTCACTGGTGTCTCTCTCGCTGTTCCACCCTGTTGTCTCTAAGGAATTCCCTTCTTAAACTCTCTGTCTTACTTCAGGTCAGTCTTCCAGGAGCCAGATTTCTCCCAGAACACAGACAGATGAGTCTTCCATAGCTCCTAATCCTCTCCATCTTTACATTCCAGACCCTACATTGCCAACACAGAGAATTTAAGGCACTTTACACCAGTTGTGCTGTATCCATATCTATGTGCACAGTAATGGCTGAAGATGACTATACAGTAAGGGGTCTTAGTTCAAAGTTCTTTAATTGTGGTTCAAACAGAAATGTCTAATTTAAAACCAGACTCGGCCAAAGCTAAAGGCTGAGATTTTTCAGTAAGCAGACAAAAAGGCTATATATACCATCTCAGCATTTGTTCTGTTTTCCAATATTCTATATGTTGCCTGCTGCAAAGCCATAAGCAACCCAATCTGCCCTCATAGCCGATCCAGCTTTGAGCAGGAGGTAGGACCAAAGCCCTCTCAACCTGACTTACTGTATGCCAAATGATCCTATGATCCTATTTCATTGCCTATTTGTGATGGAGAGCTGCCTGAAGCCACTTGCAAGAATTAGGGTTTATTTTACCTGGTTTGGCTCTGGGTATGTTTCTGCTCTCAACACTGTAGATCACATGCTTGTAGGGAAAAAAGTAAATGAGGAAAAAGGCAGTTCCACCTGGCCATACATAGTATATTAAGCAGACAACGGAGTCTTTTACACATAAACCTCTCTCTAAGATGAGCTAAGTGGACCCTTGAACCTAAGTAAATGCATTTTGCATGCGTTTATTTCAAGTTGATGCTCTTTTCTCATATGCCTTGGCTTCGGAAGCCCACTTAAAACCTTCCTGTGCCTGCATTTGTCCCATGGACACAATGTGCCAGTTGAAAGCCCAAACGCAGTCCCATTGACGCCAAGCCCCTCTCTTTGTTCGCTGCCCTTTTGTTTTCCTTCACTCTCGCTTGCACTTGCAAAGCGAGTCGCTAATGGCAATCACATGTGCAGGAGGTGTCACACGCCAGCACAGCCCGGCCTGGGATTTATCACCCGCCACTTCCTGGCACACCAGGCAGCCCAACATCTGGTTGTGACTAGTGCCCCGCTTTGGCTCGAGGTTCCTTTCCTCCCACAGCGTCTGAAAGCACCGAGAACCAGCAACGACAGAGGGGGCAAACCAGCCCACGCTGTGCTGGAGCAGGGCTTGAGCCGTCCCAAAAGCAAGTGAGGAGCAACTTTCAGCATCGCGCATCTACAAAACACAGTGTTTAATTCCAGCTTTATACGACCCCTCTATGTCCTGCTGACACCCAAGATGTGGTTTGCAAATCACTCAGAAATGGTTTGTTAAAGAAAACGTTTTTATGCTCTTCACCTTTAACAATTTGAGGAGCTTCCCAGTCTGCTTTCACAGCATGCAGATGGCTTGAAAATAGCAACTTCTGTGGTAGAGGGTTAGATCAGGGTTAGATCATTCTCACTGTCCAACTCAGACATCCTAATTATCATGAAATCTAAATTCAAGATGATGATGAGCAATTCAGAAAACTGCCAGAGGGTCAGAGCTTGGCTCATAACATCGTTTACAGAGAAAAATAATCACTGATTCTATGCTGGAAACCTGTAACAGACAGACCTCATAACTGCCAATCAATCAGAAGTGTGAAAAAAAAATCAATCCTTAATCAACATCAAGGAGCCGGTAAATCTTGAGTTGGACCAGTTCCTGTTGGAGCTGCTAAGGACATTTCAGGTTTGTCTAATAGACAGTGATCGAAGTGGGGACTTCAGAGACCTGCAAATTTTTAGAAGTATCATCTTGAAAAAAAATAAATATCCCAGTACAGTTCTACTGTGTCCTATTATGTAATTACCCTGGGGTTTGTGTGCCTCATTAAAGGTGCTGGTGTGACACAGCAGGTGCTGGTACACAGGTCCTTTTCAGGACCATTACATACACAATGTCAGAAGAAAAGCAATTATCACTCCTAGTCTGAAGACCTGAAATGGCCTCTCAAGGCAAGAACAAACAGACAATGCTGAGAGCTCTAGTACAACAAATAATAGCCTGGGAACAGGCCAGGAGCTGAGGTTACCATTAATGCACCTGAACACCAAACAGAAACCACCCTTCTGATGAAACATTTCCCACTGAGGTATCCTTTCTAGCTCAGGGTGAGTTATTCTTCCTTTCACATTTTGGCTTTGCATGCTTTCCCAGCCTGTCTTCCTGACCCAACAGAGACACTTAAGAACAGCAAGACTTAAATCCAAGCAATAGGACAAGAGGTAACAGGCAGAAGCTGATGCCCAGGAAGTTCCACCTGAACATGGGGAACAACTTCTTTACTGTGTGGATGATCATGCACTGGAACAGACTGTCCAGAGGGGGTGTAGAGTTTCCCTCACTGGAAATATTCCAGAAGCATCTAGACATGACCCTGTGCAATATGCTCCAGGATGACCCTGTCTGATCAGGGAGGTTGGACCAGATGACCCACTGTGGTCCCTTCCAACCTGACCCATCCTGTGATTCTGTGAAATCTTCAAAAGAGAATTGCAAAGAGATCTGATGTACAGAGTAAACTGAAAGCCTCTCGAGACTTGTTATCAGCAGTCCAAATATCACATAATGGTTTGGGTTGGAAAGGAACTTAAAGATCACCTATTTCCAACCCCCTGGCATGGGGGCTGACCAGGTTGCTCACAGCCCCATTCAACCTGACCTTGAACACTTCCAGTGATGGAACACCCACAACTTCTCTGTGCAGCCAGTTCACCACCCTCATAATAGAATTTTTTTCCTTATATCTAATCTATATCTATCCTCTTTCAGTTTAAAACCATTGCTCCCTGTCCTGTCTACAGGTCTTTGCAAAAACTCTTTTTCTCTTATAAGCCCCCTTTAGGTATTAAAAAGCTGAAATTAAGTCTCCCCAGACCCTTCTCTTCCCCAAGCTCAATAACCCCAACTCCCTCACCCTGTCTTCATCAGAGAGGGATTCCAGCTCTCTGGCCATTTTCATGGCCCTTCTCTGGACCTTCTTTATCAGGTCCATGTCCAGAGCTGGATGAAGTACTTGGGTGGGGTCTAACAAGAGTGGAATAGAGGGAGACAGTCACCCCTATCAACCTAATGGCCACACTTCTTTTGATGCAGTCCAGGAAACAGTTGGCTTTTTAGGCTGCAGATGCACACTGCTGACTCACATCCAATTTTCTCCCCAAGTCCTTCTCAGCAGGGTTGCTCTCAAACCATTCACCCTCCAGTCTGTATTGGTACTGGATATTTCCCAGGTGCTGGACCTTGCACTTGGCCTTGTTGAACTTCATGGGACCTGCCAAGGTCCCTCTGGTTGATATCCCTTCCCTCAGTGCAATCAACTACTTCACTCATCTTGGTGTTGTCTACAAACCAGCTGACACAAACGAGGCAAAACATCAGACAGGGCTGGTGTGGGAGTATGTGGCTACTAATGGATTTTAGCATGAGAAAATGCTTCTGCTGATCAGTTTTTGTATCATTCAAGGTAACAAAAATTAGCTCCACTAACAGAAGGAACAGAAGTTTGGGTTGAGACTAAGCATACAGAAATGTCTCACTTCATCTTCATCTTGACTTTTTAACGTTGAAGCACCAATCTGATAAATGCTACGTGCACTGGTCTACCATGATGCTTCACCCAATGTCAGGCCTAGTCTAAAATTTGAAAGGTTAGTTTAAACCAGATGATGAAATCCCTTATGTCACTAACTGGTGAAGACACTCACCTTCCCAAGGCAATTCAGCCCATCCTACAATAGGTGTTATGGATGCTTGGATGGACCTTTTCTTTCAAGTCAGCCACCTCTCTCCATCACCTAAAAAAGCAAAATCTCACCAGAACAAATAAGCCAATAAAGAGTCTACCTTGACAAGAAGGAGAGGTTGTTATTTCCTTCACTTCTTCCCTGCTTTTCCCTCCTTCTGACCATGATTCCCTTTCTTTACCTTCTAGCTATCCCCATACCCACACTCAATCTCTCCCTCTTGCCCAATCAAATGTATACTGGTTTTACTTACAAACCTGAAAAGATGCTTTTTTCCTTGTTTAATTTTCTGCCTTTTCAGTGAATCGAACGAGCCAATTTATCAAACAATGGGCAGGAGCAAGCAGCCAGGTTTGCCCTGCTTTTGGTGTTCAAGAGCTTGTAATTAGCTCAAGTCATGTCATGAAGCACATGTGTACATAGAGTTACTCAGCTGCTCACACAATAAAGTTAATGAGTCAAAAATCTAAACAACAAACTTGCCTTTCTCTTCCTCCATACCATAAATTAGGTATTAATAACACTCATAAAAAAAAAAAAAAAAAAAAAAAAAAAAAAAAAAAAAAAAAAAAAAAAAAAAAAAAAAAAAAAAAAAAAAAAAAAAAAAAAAAAAAAAAAAAAAAAAAAAAAAAAAAAAAAAAAAAAAAAAAAAAAAAAAAAAAAAAAAAAAAAAAAAAAAAAAAAAAAAAAAAAAAAAAAAAAAAAAAAAAAA